TAGTATGTTTATCTAATTTCAATGTATTTTTATCTATCTTACAAATTAATTTACTTGAATTTAAAAAAATAATAAAAATACAAAAAATCAGAAAAATTAAAAAAAATTAGTATATTTATATATCTAATTTCAATTTACTTGAATTTTTATCTATATTTTAATTTAATCTATTTGAATTAAAAAAAACAGAAAATTATAGCGTGAACTACAGTACCGCGTTAGATGTGATGTGATACTGTAGCAATCTCACAGTAGCGCCAGAACTAGCGCAGGGTTGGAGAGGTGTGAGCTCTCTACTTTGGAGAAATTCTCCAATGTAGAGAAGCATTGGAGATGTCCTAATGGCTCTTATTATTTAATTATTAAAAGAAAATAATATAAAAAGGGTTCCTGACCTGACAAGTGGGGAAGATGGATGTTTAATTTGTGTCTTCCATCAAGTATAAACCTTTGTAGGAGTATTATAGAGTAGCCAATTTTGGTTTTGAGTAGCATATGATACATAACCAACGACTAATAATTATATGAAAAATTCATAATTTTCGTGGGAATTAATATAAATTTTAAATAAAATACATCAAATATAATTAAAATTTTAATTTTCCGACTGTAACGTTATATTTTAACTTTAATTTCATTTATATTATTAGATCATTAAAATTCAAAGGGCATGATAATGTGAACAAAACAATATCATATTTTAACAGAAGGTTCATATATCATTAGCCAAAAACGACGTCAAAATAATGTTTCTTACCGAATTTTTAAACTCCTAAAAAATATATTTTTGTTTAATTTTGTGGATCTTATGGAAAATCATTTTTATGAGAAGAAAGAGGAAAGAAATAGAAACATTTTGATATTGATTTTCTCGTGAAAGATGGTTGATGTTGATTGGCTACCAACGTCGATTGAAAAAGTATAATGCTAAAACTGGAACTGTTTAAAAGTTCAATGGTATTTTAGGCATCAATGGTTGTTGTCAAAACGATGTCATTTTGTAAACATCATCACAGTGATAAAAAGATTTGTCTACGCCATGGTGTCATTAAAATTTAACTGCTTCACGGACGGTGTTATGATTGAATTATGACTGGAACAAGTTGTTTAACTTTGAAATAAATAAGATCTCTACAATTAAACAAACCATAAAAATTAAAGGATTTATGACTTAATTTCACTAATTTTTAAATTAAAGGATCTTAAAGAGTAATAAAAAAATAAAGTCAAAATTTTTATTTTAAAACTAAAAGTGTATTAAAAACCAATAATTTGAGAAGGGAAATGACTTAACTGTAATAACTCAATTAAACTATCAGAGTTGGGGTGTTGGGGGAGGGCGGGGGGAATTGCCTCTCCCACCTCCATGAATATTTGTCCTCGAATAGCCAATGGTATAATTGAAGTTAGGATTAAAATTTAATGCTATAATTAAAGAAATTAAAAGTTAAATAATATAAACGATACACGACTTATAGTTTAGTGGTATTAGATGTAGTTCACCTTTACTTTTATCAAATCAAATTGCAAATGGGAATTGATATTTCTAGTGTGAAAATTCATAATTATGTTTAAATAGATTTAGTGGCATTTAATTTTAAGTCTCTGCGTGAGATTCATTTACTAATAATGTATCATATTTCATTACTAGTTGATACATCAACCAAATGAAAGATGACAAAAAAAAAGGTCATCACTGTTCATGGCATAGATATTTTACAAATTTAAAAAGGAAAAATTTGTCATTGCTTCACTTTCATAAGCCAAAAGCTTTTCTTCACAACTCTCCAGCCTTATCACATGATTCAGGAACAAAACAATCGTGGCCTCAGGACGGTGTTCCTTCACATGTCGATGCAAGCCTCGTGCCTTGCGGGACCGACTCACTGAACCCTCTGATTAGATGGGCATGTAATTTGCGTCCCTATCCAGAACTGCAGGAACCCCAAGGTTTTCATCTTCGGTTTTACCAAGGCAACATTTCCATATTACAAGACCTCATTTTTCATGTGTTTCAGGAGCTGGTTACATAGGAGAACTTAATATACATTTTGTAAATATTTCTTTAAGATATATTCAGAAAAAAATTTTCGTCCACGATTTATTCGGAGTCACGTACTCCTTATGTTGTTATAAACTTAAGATTAGACCTCTAACAATCCCATAAAATTTATTAGAGTCAAGCTTGTTTCAACTGTAACACCCTAGATCAGTATGACACACAGTCGACTGATCAGAATGCCACACAGAACTACCGGAGTGGCTGACCAAAATTTTTCTTTTAATTTCTTCATTTAAAAAAATGATTATTTGTAAATACTCATACTAAGATAAATCAACCACAACTTTTAATAAAATAGTTTAAATCAGGAGCTCCCAAAATATTATTTCAAATTATACAAACCATCTTTTAAAATAAGTTACGACTTAAATATACAAAACGAGATTTACAATTATACATGCCCTCTAAGATGAACTTGAGATGTACTCTGCACTAGTTTGATTTGGTTCACTACTGGAAAAAAGGTCCTTTGACTGCTCCTCGATCTAACCTGCGTAATAAAACAAATTCCAAACACTAAGCTAACTAGCCCAACGCCACACTAACAACTAAGTCATTCTAAAAGTATTGATGTCATGTACAAGCTAACCGATAATACTGAAATAGTGAGTATACTCGTATACTGCACTCTCCACTCTATGGTAGACATCATGGTGGACTAAGGGTTCTGCATCTCAAATCTCACACACCCCTCTAGTCTATCGAGGATGAGACCCGTAATCTCTACATCGAACACAACACCCTCGACTAACCCACCGCTCGCTAGTGTCGGCCCTCAACCCTAGTTAGTCAGTTTAAAGTGCATCGCACACTACTTAAGGATTTATGGACTGTTTCTATACTTCGACACCATTTTGTTACTAAAGGAGCTCGGGTGTCCTGATCGTTTCCCAAGCATCAATCAAGGCTAGTTTTATCTCACCCTAATATTTCTCGTTTCTAATTGTATTTAGCAATATTTCGTTCTTACTTGTCGTTTTATTAGAAATTACTCCAATTAGAAGCATACTATAAGTCCACAGTCATTCGTGTGCCTTTCTTGGCCTATTTGGCCAAAATCAATCAAAGGTTTCAAAACCTACTGTAGAGGTTTAGAAACCTCAACATAATTTTTACTCGTTTAAACACTTCCAAACCCTCACAAAATCATTTCAACATTTCCAATTAACCAACATAAGTTTATACATGATAAAATGGATCTAAAGGGCTTTAAACAAGTTAACCATAAGCTAGAATCTACCATGTATGATCATACAAGCTTCAATCTCAACTTTCTAGCTATTATACATTTTATAGTGACTCACAAATGGTATGCGAGAGTTGTGAATGTATTACCTTGCTTCTTTGATGGCTAAAACTCTCCTAACTTACTCAATGTTAAACTTTTCTTTACCTCTCGCTATTGAGCTTTCTCCCACCTCTTTCACTAAATAAAAGTGATTACTAATCCATATAGGGGTTGGATACAATCTAAATAAACTCCCTATAACTCAAATTCACCAAAAAATGAGCTAAAACCCATAGATTCTCGTAAACCTCTCAATATCTATTTTTGAAAATTAATTCTAAAACTTGCAATGTGGAGCTTAATTTGAAGCTTGAAGGGTGGGCAGAAATATTCTTTCCTTTGTTTAAAGTAAAGTAGCTTGAATCCTTAAAATTTCACATGGGAGAGGAAAAAGAAAGAGAAATGATGAAAAAAAAGGATGAGTATTTGGTGAGAAAATGGGGAAGGTGGTTCACGTAAATGATATAAAATGAAGGGGTTGTCAGCTTTCTATTTGAATTATGGGTAAACTACACTTTTAGTCCCTCTACTTTCTATTTCTTAAAATTATCATCACTAACATTAAAACTCTTGAGCCCAACCTAAGCCCACTAACACTACTCTTGGCCCAACAATTATATAAGGTCTTTTGAGCACAAACTTTGGGTCTCGGATTGACCCGAACTACTAACTTGGAATTCGAGGCATTACATCAACAATTGTAATTATCTTTTTGAATCACTCTACAAATAGTCATTGCCATCATAGGTCCGACATCAATTTCCCATTAACCAATGATACTCCTAAGGAAAGGCTGAAAGAGGGGATCCCGACCACTTCTTTCTCTTCTTCGCATCCATCTCCCCTTATGACTTCATCTTTTTCACAGAGAAACACCGATTAACGATAGTTATCTCATTGATTACGACTCTCCATATAAATTAGAAAAGATAAACTATCAACAACTAACAACAGATCAGACAAACTTGTTTTTATCAATAAAATTATAAGACATTAAGAGACTAACTTTCTACTTGTATAATTCTTCGACAAGCTGACACTGTACATGAATTATTTGTCTCCAATTACCAAGATAAATGGAAATCTTCTGCTTCATGCTTCCTTGTCTCCTTTGGACACCAACTGAAAATCAACAACCATTACCCATAGATTCCGGTTCAAAGGACAAGGGCTATTTTTTAAAGCCCCAACACTTATCTCAAGCTAACCCTAAATTTTTTAGTCCATGACGGTATGACCCTGCGTTGGGTTCTTTGAAGGAAGACATGAATTGTAAACATTAGTATGTATATATGTGAGTAAATATTCTTCTTCTTATCATTTTCATCAAAGAATAAGAACTAGTTAATTGAGACCAATGGCACCATTTGATGATTGAAGAGGCAAAGATGCAAGCAGCTGCAGAGCTGGCCTGTGTTTACTGTCGATATATTCCATCCGGTTAACGTTGCCCATCTTATGGCCATATGAATAAATAAGAATTAAGGGTGACCTGCTGTTGCCAAAAGCTGTACCATCACATGCGTTAGCCACCTTGACACGAATATGCCAGTGGTTGCTTTATTGCGGCCTTATATAAATAGTTAAGTTAATGAATCATTGCAGATTAAGCACAACAAAAGCTTTCACAATTGGTAAAAGCAGCTAAAAATGGCAGGCGATTCCCCATTGCCTGATGTGCATCTTTCTGTTAGGTCCATCAGCTTACCCTCAAGGGTCCATACCACTTGTGTTAAACTAGAAGCTGCTTTAAACCATCTACAGGCCTGGAAAACATCCTCCGTTTTGACGACCACGAGTTTTTCCGGAGAATCCATTCGGATCGGACTCGTCGACCTTGCGGATTTGTATAACTGTGTCCGGGAAATCATTAGCTCTCCGAAAACACAAAGTACACTCGTTCAGAATGGGAAACTTTTAGAGGAGGCATTGGATGAGTCTGTCACGTTTTTGGATACTTGTGGCAGAGGTAGGGATCTATTGTTGGCGATGAAACAACATGTTCAAACCCTGCAATCGGCTCTACGGCGAAGGCATGGCGATTCGAGTATCGAAACTCAAGTTGCAGCATACATCAACTTCAGGAAAACGGCGAAAAAGGAAGTAGCCAAATGCCTTGGAGCATTGAAGAAATTGGAGCGTAAATTTGGTTCCTCTTCGACACCCTTGGATGTAGATCAACATTTGTTAATGGTGACCAAAGTCCTAAGAGAAGCAAGTTCCATTACCATCTCTGTTTTTCAATCTCTTCTGCTCTTCTTCTCAGTGCCCTCAAGGGTTGGAGGATGGTCCAAGATTACAAAGTTGATTCCCTCACGATTAGTTTCAAACGAAAGAGAAGTGAAGGTGATGAATGAAGTTGGGAGTGTTGATTTGCTTTTCACTCCATCAATGGACCCTTAAAGAATGGTGAAGCGGAGATGGTGCAGAGGATGTTGAAGGCTCTTGATGCCACCATTGATGGGCTTGAAGCTGGATTAGACAACGTTTTCAAGTGTCTGATTCAAAATAGAGTCTCCTTCCTTAACATCATCACTCATCAGTGATGCCCAAATTGTTGTATATTGATACTGTAGTTGAGAATTTAATACATAAAACAAATAGAATTAGCCTTTCTACAATTCTCTCCGTTTTCGAACGAATGGTGCTTTAATCAGGAATGCATAAACATCTTCATTAATCATTATAATTCCAAAGACTTGATTAAAGGCTATAATCTACAACAAAACATTGAGAGTTGACAGAGATAAAACAAGCTTATTGATTAGAACAAATGGGTCAGACGGCTATAAGCGTTGTATCCTCCTAGTTGGAACGAATAGTCGTAATCGATGAAGGAACAACCATTTAATTGGTATCAAGGTCTTTAACTACATTAAGAGATAAAAATGAGATGGGTAAGGAGGGAAAGTCCGTATCTTTCTCTCAATCTTAGTCGAAAAATTTTACAATAATACTTGGAAGATATAATTGATTGATAGTGAATTTAATTTTGATTTATCACGTACAAAATTGATTTACAGACCTTGGTATTGGCACACGTGTTGTCATACGAGTGGTCACTTTATTATCCGAATTAAATACGCCTACGATCGCTTTCAACGACGTCCAATGAAAGCATTATTCACGAGCAAGTAAAACAAAATGATGGAGACAAGCCACTCGTGCACACAATATAATAATAACAATAGAAAAGGGTTGCCAATGATGTTACTATCAAGATCTTGGAATTATAATAACCAATAAACTACACACTTTGCCATTTGGTTTATGGAACAGATCTAGATCTCAATCTCGAGAAAAACATTAATAAATACGTTTTGCTGTTATCAGGTCCTTGCAAATGGAGACAGACCAGGTAAGCCACATATGGAGAAAGTGAGGCAGCATCTGCAATTTCTAAACACTAAAATGGTTTGGGAATAAGGGATAATGTGGCAGGCACGCAGGCAAAACAGGTGATGAATCTTTTCAAGTTACATGCATAAACAAACGAAGAAACGACACCTTATGCATACATATTTCTTTAGGTTTCAACTTACATGCATATTATTTGAGCTAAGTCAGTGAATGATGTGACAGGGTATCCGTATTCAAAGGGAAAGCCCATTCTGCCTCACATGATTTCTATGACATTCAATGCCCTTTCCTTTTCTATAAATAGTTTTATAGATATCTACGATCGTAAAATAAATAGACAAGAATTTTATTATAATCAACAGTAAAATATAAAAAGATTATATGAGAGTACATTAAACTTAATAACCATACATATATATATATAGTTGTGAAGATATAGTAATTTCAGTTGAATCAACAAGGGAATCGCACCGTAAATTTTGAGTTAGAACCAAGAGAATTTGGATCACAAAATCTAACTATTTTTAAATTGACATAAATTTTATTATAATCAACAGTAAATTATAAAAAGATTATATGAGAGTATATTAAACTCAATAACCATATATATGTATATATAGTTGTGCAGTTATAGTAATTTCAGTTGAATCATCAAGCGAATCACACCGTAAAATTTGAGTTAGATCAAAGAGAATTTGTATCACAAAATCTAACTATTTTTAAATTGACACAAATTCTAGTAGTGTAAGATAACACGACAGAAAAATATCAATCTCGACGAAAGAAATAATCCTCAGTTCTACTACAAAAATCTGAATGGTATTCTTCAATAATGGAGACCTATCAAATTTAAACAATACTTCACCTTAAACTCAGTGGACCATATTAATAATATTATCATTATTGTCAACTTTGCACTTAATAATGTTGGAAGCTTAGCGAACACTCAATAAATTTAATAACTCAAGCTATTATTGATACGAACAAAATTCGATACAACGACGTTACTCCGATATTAACTGTGGCTAATTTACAAACACCACTAATATAGCTTTGCTAAGTTTTCACTCTTTCTAACTTTTCTAAGCTTCACTTTTGTCTCTCGGTAACACATACATTCATAAATTACATAAGCTCTAAATACATATATATATATATATATATATATATACATAGGAAACTTAAACGGCCTCATGTAAGCTCCATTCTACCGACTTGAATTTGTTGTGATAAAACCTTGCTTGCTGCCTCCATCATGTTTTGCCACGTTAATTGATGGTTCTTAATTGATAAGCGTTTTGATGCCATGTTAATTTGCTTTGTAAATGCCACCTTTCATTGGTCAATTCCTTGCTGCAGTGAAATTCTTCAGATGATGCCTCCATTATTTTGTGGTTTATATTTTTGCCACTTATATGCACATGCTAATTCAAGTAGCTTCTATACAATTCTCCTTGCCAACATATGGTTGCAAAGTGAGTTTGATTTCTAACACTCCTCAAACTCAACTTTTCATTCCGAGCTTTTTGTCACTTATCATCTCCAATCGATTCTTCATTTGTTATGAGATCACTCTTTGCTAAGAGACATATTATTTAATTTGTAATCGTTGTACCTTTCGGGATTTTTTCTTTTTCTTGTAGATCTTCAAATTGCAGTTGGAGGTGCTTCAGTTTTTTTTGTTCAGCTACTGCTGCTGCTGCTACTTGTTAATGGTGATTCAATTGAACTTTGTTGAGGACCTTGAACATTATCTTGTTCATCTTGATTGATAAGATCGTCATCGTCTATGTCTTCATTAAAAAATAGTCCATCAACTTCATTTTTTTCATTTCTCCATCTCCATCATTCTGTCTAATCAAACTCGACATCTCTTGAAAATATTACCTTCTTGGTAAGAGGATTATAGAGCCAGTCGGCTTTGCTTCTTTCATCATAACCAATGAAAATACATTTTTCTCCTTTATCATCCAGTTTTGTTTATTGTTGTTCAGAAACATGTGCATATACAATGCATCCAAATATTTCGAGGTGTCCAACTCTTGGTTTCTAACCATTTCATGCTTCATTTGGCGTCATATACTTCACACTTTTTGTTGGACATCAGTTTAATAGGTAAATTGCACAACAAACTGATTCAGCCCATAAATTTCTTGGTAAGTGCTTACCTTTTATCATGCTTCTTGCCATGCAAGAATTGTACGATTCTTTCTTTCAGCAATTCCATTTTGTTGAGGTGTGTATCTAAATGTCAACTGATGGATTATGCCATGCTATTTGTAGAAATCTTCAAATAAATTTGATGTATACTCGCCTCCTCTATCAGATCTAAGTATGATATTCAAATACTTACCACTTTATTTTTCTACCATTGCTTTAAATTCTTTCAATTTCTTCAGTGATTCAGACTTTTCTTTTAGAATATAAACCCAACTCTTTCGACTAAAATCATCAATAAAGGTTAAGTATTACCTGTTACCTCCAAGTGATGGGATGTCATAAGGACCAGATATGTCTGTGTGCACAATCTCCAATGGCCTTCGAGCTCTCCTAGATCTGTTAATCGAAGCTTTGTCTATGTTGCTTTCCTTTAATGTAGACCTCACATAGCTGATTTGGAGAGTTGATCTTTGGCAGTCCTTTCATCGATTTTTCCTTCGATAATAGCTTCAGACCAGATAAACCAAGATGTCCATATCGTAAATACCACAACTATGAATTATCTTTTATTATCATCTTCATGCACTTAACTTCTCCCGACTCAATATCGATGTAAAAAGACGATTTTGAGTCATATCAACTTGGAAAAATAATTCTCATTCTTTATTTTTATGGCGAAAGAACGATTCCTCATCTGCACTTCGTATTATTTTTCTAGGAGTTGACCGATGTTGATGATATTGCTTTTCAAAGCTGGTACATAATATATATATCTGAGATGTATTTCTTTTCTCTATTTTTCTGAGTAATCATGACTTCTCCTTTGCCTTTGATTTCTGTGTACGAGTCATCTCCAAATGTTACTAAACCATGGACTGTTTAATCTATCTTCACAAATAACTCCTTTCAACCACACATATGATTATTAAAACAATTATCGAGATACCAAATATTTTTCTTGAATTCTCCATTTTCTTTATGAGTCACGAAAACATGGGATTTTTCAACATTTTCTTCTTCAAATGCTGCTACGTAATTTCTTTCTTGTTTGGGAGTTGATTTACACTCGTAACTATAGTGACCATATTTATTGCAGTTATAGCATTGTACCTGGGATTGTTTCCTTGTTGATATCTGCCATGGCCTCTAAATCCTCTTCTACGGTTTGATATATAGTAATTTTTACTTGTTTGACCGGTTTCATATGATCGACTACCGTGTCAATTTGCTCCTCATCCACCTCTAAATCTTCCACGATAATCACCATGATTTCTCTACCTTGTGCGTAGCTTCTGCTAGTTTCTCCTTCATTGACATTGATCTTGCTTTGCAAGTCTTGCTCTAAATTTTCAAATCTTCATTTTGCTTCATCTTCTGCTCATGGGTTTGTGGTGAACCCACAAGCTCATCTATCGATATCTGTGACAAATCTTTCGATTATTCGATTGCCACGACCACATAATCAAATTTTTGTATCAACGGCCGCAAATATTTTTTCCATCACTCTGACTTCATCGAGTGATTCCCATCTTTTCATTTCATTTACTAAGTTTTTCAGATGGCTAACATAATCATCTATGCTTTTTATATTTTTCATTTTCATCATTTCAAATTTAGCTCTAAGTGATTGTAACGTACATTATTTTTGCCTTTTCGACACCTTGGAGAGATTTTTGAAAAATCTCTCAATCCTACTTAGCGATCTTCGCATTTGATATTTTTTCAAACTTAGATTCATGTACTACTTGAAATAAAAAATATAATGTCATCTTGTCTTTCTTCGGGGATTCCTTCAGTACCCTTTTTTTCATTTGATAGGTTGCTTCTACTGCTACATTTTATTGTTCGGCGTAACATTCTTCGACAATATCCCAACAATCTTA